CTTCACTCTGTATCAAAAATGAAATGGAAGGATAAATTAGTTTTATTAGATTGTATTGCTTCAGATCTTCAAATAATCCACTCTCATGATCTTATTCATCGAGATTTACATAGTGGTAATATTTTACTAGATGAATTACATATCGCCTATATTGCAGATTTGGGACTTTCAATATCAACAAATATAGAACTATTTACTGAAAAACGTGGAGTTTATGGAATTTTGCCATATATAGCACCAGAATCTTTAGACAGTGGACAGTATACAACTGCGTCCGATATTTACTCATTTGGAATAATTATGTGGGAAATTTTATATGGAAAATCTGTATCTTATAATCAAGATTTTGGAACACAACTTCAATTAGAAATATGCAATAATGATTTACGACCAACTATTATTAGTGACACGCCACAATGCTATATAAACCTAATGAAGAAATGTTGGAAAAAAGAACCTATAAACTGCCCATCAGCAATAGAGATTTGTAAAATTCTTACAGAATGGCAGAATGATGAAAATATTTTATCTGAATTAACGAGTTCTGATAAAATATTAGAAAATATTAATAGCACACAAATACAATCTTATCCTGTTGACCTTTATAAAAGCAAATTTATTAAATATACTTCATTACTTTATCAAGGTATTTACTTTTTTTTTCTTTTTAAATAATTTTTTTCGATTATATTTAATATTAATTGTAATTTACAGATAGCGAACAAAAGGATTTAAATATTACTGAATTATAACCGTAAAGGAGGTTATTTTTTATTATCACTTTTCTTATTACTGATGATCGACCATCACACGGAAATTTTCAAAATTCCCTAAATTTAAATATCTTGCTTACAATTAAAAATTTCCAAAAATTTTCTTTTATTTCCGCCTTTCTAATACTAAATATATAGTAAAATGCAGGATCTGATCATTTTTATATAACTATAGGAATTTCTGGTTTGTTTAAGCATAATAAAAAAAAAAATCTAAAAACATATAAAATTCTTCATTTATTTGTTTTGTTTTACCGTATTTACGCGAAATAACGCACATCTGTGCGTTATTTCGAGGAGATGAATGTTATTTCGAGTACGCGTATGGGCGTTATTTCGAAGCAAAGGATACACCCCAATCACTGATGGTAAATATCAAGGTGATTTATTAATATTAGTATATGGGTGTGCGTTATTTCGGGACGCACATGGGCGTTATTTCGGGACGCACATGGGCGTTATTTTGAAACCAACTATGCTATTTTAAGAAAATGCGATTTTCAAAATAACGCCCATGTGCATTATTTCACATAAATATGGTATGTGGTTAGGGTAAGAGATCATTTCTGGCTGCTCAGGATTTACTTGATGTAAGCCTCTATTTTTGATTAAATCAAGTAATTAAAAAAACTGAGTATTTGTAATATAATGTACTGACGATCTTTCATCAAGTTTCATCGAAATTTTGTACAAATAAATCAAAAGTTGCAGATTTTTTTGCTTTGACAGAGAAATCTGTTTTTTTTTTCAAAAACCAATGTATTATAGTTTTAATAGACTCGATTTTCACTTTTAACTGGTAACAATAAATGGTATATTCCCGGGACTTAAAATATTCACGAGAAATATATGCATAAATTTATAATGAGATATACAAGTTTCATATACATGATCTTTTGCAGTTTAAGCGCACTAGTCATCATAATGATACATATAATAAAAAAACAAAATTTACAAATCAGTAAAACAAGGAAATCCAATAACTTTTCCCTGCGCAACTGATTTGCTATTTACACCTAATTGCATAACATTTTTTAATACAAATACCAAATCAGACCAATAAACCACACCACCACCAAGACCTTCAAAAAGACTCCATGGATGATCAGGAACCCGCACTTCACCCTTATGAGTTTCTACTTCCCATTCACCTCCATATAAACCAAGTGCTAATGCCCTTTTAAATTAAATTTTATCATGCGTAACAAGATAAGCCAATAAAAAAGCATAAGCATTACCAAGAGTATTATGACAAAGACCTGTTACACCCTTTTTCAAAATTTCACGCTTCCAGACCAAATCAATTTTAGAAATTGCATTCAAAAGAATATTTTTAGATGAAGTATAATTTGGGTATAAAGAATAAATTTTTAAAAGGGAAATAATTATTTCTGAAGCACCGTGGCAAAACCTATTTAATAAATATTATATATAAGAAATAATAAGTAATACAATCGGTTTTATATATTATATTCTATCCTCGTTATAACGAACCCATTAAAGTAGATTTGTTACTATAACAGAATAATTTTTTAGAATATTTTAAATTATTATTATATTACTATTTATGATACTATATCGGATATTTATTATAACAGATGAAATTTCCCAGCCTGATCATTACATTATAACAAGGGAAAAGTGTATGATGCTTACTGAATAAGGTCATCGTGAGTTGATTGTATGCATGCAGGATAATTTTTATCCATTTGAACTATTCTATAAGCCATTCAATTGTCTGAAATAATTCATCCATGTAAGGGAGAGCTAATTCACCACATTGGAGGATGGTAGCAATGATTCCGGCTATTATTAAAAGTTTAATAAAAAGATAAAGAAAGAGAAAAATTTTTATTTAAAGAAATAAATATAATTTATATGTATACAAACCAACACCATGTATGGCACCAACATATTCTGAATTATGCCAACTCCACATTAAGGCAGGTCTTGTAACTTTATCATTAATAGTCATCAAATCTGTAATTCGTTTTGCACCATCTCTGCCATCTTTAATGATTAACTTGATAATTTCTTTTAATTTATCATTTCCAATTCTTGACATAATTTCCTCGTTATCTTTACAATATTTTCGAATAAAAATCAAAGCATAAAGATACCCAGCTCGACCATATAATAATTTATTTGAATCTTCCTGTAATGATAATGAATGATATTTATCAAGAATAGTGTCAAGATATTTCAAAGATTCAGGGTGTTTTTTTCAATAGTTTCATAAACTACAACGGCCAAAGCCGGTGGTCCTATATGGCTACCTTATAAATCCTATGTGCTTTGGAGAACTATTTTGGACTGCAGATAAAGAAGCTGATAGATATGTGGAACACAAAAGAGATACATTGTCCCCAGCGATTATTAAATCAGGAAACAATCGGTATAAATGAAAAAACATGAAAGCAATTCCTCCGTATCCTAATAATTTATAAGAATTATGAATAATTGTAATTAGATTTACTTGCTTTATAGTCACAACTTACAAAGTTTTTATTTATTATTATAATTTTTTTTTTTACCAACAAACACATCATAATAACGACTATCATAAGTGGCTGGAAATTTAGAAAGAATTTTTTCAACACCGTATCTAATAAATTTTTCGATTTTTGCAGGATCGCAATCGTTAGCATTTGGAAGTGTTAAAGTATTTTTCAAATAACGTTCTGGCATGATTTTAAGTTGAAAGATTTATGTGTGTAACAGGCTGTATTAGTATTTATAGTTAATGATTATGTAATCGTTACATTATATCATAATTACGTATATCATTCATTAAATTCACTTTAGCATTTTTAAATAAAACGACTGGTTTAAAAAAAAAAACGGATAAAATTTTTCTGTTACAAAGTGAATTCACTTTTTTATTTTTAGTTGAACATATATTACCAGGTTCTACTTTAAAATATTTAATTAAAAATCTTGTATTACAATGCTCCTGGAAGAATGTAGTTGTACGCGAAATAAATCAATTTTTTGAAACTAGTCTTTGCTAGGGAACTTAATGATTTACCGACCTATGCACAAAATCCGCACTGAGTTTATTACAACTAATGAAATGTTACGTACGTACGTATATATCTGATATGTACTGTATATACTTTAAAGTATGTAAATAAAACACATAACAGTATCGACTTATCGACAATTATATGATAGGCCCATTTTTTATAGTAAATCGCATTAGTGGCATTTTTCAAATACTTTTTTCAGGGGTTATCCAATGTCAGTATGATGAGGCATAACAATTCAGCTATATAAGTACTCTTCGTTTTTTAAGTTTGAAGTGAAAATATAAAGTCAAGAAGAGTCATATCTTCTAAGTTGGTCTATTTGCTTCATATTATATATTATCTGACATTTCATATAATCATGCCATGATATTTTTTTGCATGACATTA